TCACAGTTTAGAACATGTAAACTTTAGATCTATATGCAAGGTAATGAATTTAAATTTATTACCAAGTATGCATTTTAATACATATGAAAAACACGAAAATTGTTTAGAGGCAAAGTTAGTCAAAGTCACCATTTCATTTGACTGAAGGAAGCATAACACCTTTGGAACTTACTCACAAATATAAGTGATTTAAAGTTTGTTCAAACAAAAGGTGGTAAAAAGATACTATTATGTATACTTGTTGAAAAGCAAAGATGAAGCTTTAGAAATGTTTAATCACTATATAACTAAAGTTGAAAATCAACTTGAAAAATGAATGAAGACGATTTGTAGTAATCAAGGTGGAGAATATTTTGCACCGTTTGAAGAATTTTGTCCAGAATCTGGAATCATTCATCAAACAACAGTACCATACTTAACTCAATCCAACGGTTTTGCTGAACACAAAAATCTAACATTTAAGGAAATGATGAGTGCAATGTTGATAAGATCAAGCTTACCTCAAAATTTGCGAAGCAAAGCTATACTTTTTGCAAATCATATCCTTAATAAAATACCACACAAAAGTGGAAACATCTTATGAGTTATGGATAGCTCGAAAACCTTTCTACATATATCTTAAAGTGTGAGGTTTTTAGTAAAGGTACAAATACCTAAACTAAACAAGTAAATATTGGACCAAAGATAATAGATTGTCTTTATCGGATATGCAAACAATAGTAATGCATATCGATTTGTGGTTCACAAATTAGAAGTATATGATGACATGTAGTTACTATTATTGAATCAAGAAATACTGCTTTCTTTAAAAATATATTTTCTTGTAAAAAAATGTAAGCTCACATAAAAGAACTTATGATACTGCAAATGGAGACCATCAAGAAGATAGTAATCATCAAATAGATGAAAACCAAGTGCTAGAAAAGGCAGAGTATTCAAAAGAACTTTGGTCTAGATTTTCTAACGTATTTACTATAAAATGATCCAAGGACATTTAACGAAGCAATGTCCACTCCCAAAACTCCTTTTCTAGAAAGAAGAAGTTAATAATGAAATTAAATCTATTATGCATAATCGTGCTTGGGCATTGATTGAACTCCCTTAGGGAAACAAAATTTTAGACTGCAAATGCATCATTAAAAGAAATAAATTGAAGTCGAATGGATCAATAGACATATATAAAGTTAGATCAATAGCTAAAGGGTATAGACAAAAGAAATGACTAGATTTCTTCGATAGTTATTCACTTGTTACAAGGATTTCATCAATTCAATTGTTGATTTCAATTGCGGCATTGCATAATCTAGAAATATATCAAATGGACGTCAAGACTACATTTTTGAATGATGTATTAGAAGAGGAAATATGTATGAAATAACCTGAATGGTTTTTTGATCTAGAAAAGATGAAAAAGGTGTGTAAGCTTGTAAAATCGTTGTATGAATTAAAACAAGCATCGAAGCAATAACATGAAAAATTTGACAAAACTATATTGTCAAATGGCTTCCAAATTAATGAATGTCATAAATGTATTTACATCAAAAACACATATAAGGAAAACGTGATTGTATGTCTGTAAGTTGATGATACGTTAATCATGTGAAATAACTCGAATGTCATTACCGTAACTAAGAAAATGTTAATAAACACTTTAACATGAAAGATATGAGAGTTGTTGATGTGATATTACGGATTAAAATCTCTAAGATACTTGATGGTTTGTTGTTGTCTCAATCACATTATGTTGCGTCTATACTTAGAAGTTTAAGGCGTAAGATGATAAACACTATAAGACACCATTAGACTTAAGTTTTACACTTAGCGAAAAATACTGGTGATCCCATAACTCAATTAGAATATTCATGTATTATAGGCATCTTGGTGTACATTACCAGCTACACGATTCTAGGTAAAGCATATGTAGTCAACAAGTTGAGTAAAATTTACATGTAATCCAAGTAACGATCATTGGGAGGCATTAACCAGAGTTCTTAGATACCCAAGACACATGTATGGTTATGGATTACACTACTCAAGATATCTGCAGTGGTAGACGGATATACTGATGCAAATCTGACACAAAGGCTTCAAAGTCTACAAGTGTTTATATGTTTACTAGCAGTGGCGGCGCTGTGTTTTGGAAATTGTTTAAACAAACTTGTATAAATCAATCTATAATAAAATCTGAGTTTATTACCTTAGACAAAATTGGAAAAGAAGCAAAATGGCTTAGTAAATTTCTCGAGGATATTCCATGTTGGGAAATTGGTACTTGTGATTATTATACATTGTGATAATCATTCGGAAATTGAGAGTACACAAAATGGTATGTATAATGGTAAATCTTGATATAATACAATTAACAATTGATATCGAATTGTATAATTTCAATCAACTGTGTTAAATCGAAGGAAAACATAATAGATCCTTTGACAAAATGGCTTCCAGGAGATCAAATATACCATCTTTCGAGTGAAATGGGCCTAAAGCCTATTAAACAGAGTCACCATAACAATATCCCAACCTTGTGGATTGGTGATCACTAGATCTTTATTAAATGGGACAAGTAAGTTATGGAAGGTTTAATATAACGTACTTAATCCTATTTATATAGATTTAAAGTGCTAGAATAAAAGTTTATACCTTTAATGATTCTTATATCTTGGAAGTAACCAAGATATGTATGATACGATACTATAGGAGGTCACTTATGTAATTGTGAAGTGGGGCCGCTTCTACAAAAATTTGAGTTTAAATTTTCTTAAAGCACTTATGAAACCAAGAGTTGTTCAAAGCCAAAATTAACACAACCACGAGAATCGAAGTAGTTAGATGAGTTATGGTGTTGGTGCAATTGTTTTAATTTACATGAATGGCTAAACGGTTCAAGACATCGAGTTCATCAATTAACTTAGTATATGTTTTGTAGGGATTAAAATTAGATTTTTTGAGTAGATTGTGATAGAAGTTTTTGAAATGTGTAGTTGAAAGTTGTGGGATCCATGAAAGATCCGATTAATATTGATTGTTTGACTTTGATTTAGATTAAAATCAAATATTGATCACTCTCAAACAAGCTCTTAGTAAATTCAATTGTATTCGACTAAGGAAGGTTCAAAATCACAAGCCACATATCTTGATACTATAGCTTGTTGTATGTACTCCTTTTTTTTAGAGTATGCATATCATTTGCATAGTGGGTTGCATATTGTGGAATTGTCATTCATGTGGGGGATTGTTGGAATTAGTCAAGTATAAAACCATGGTATAGTGACTTTTGTATCAACTTCGGCCAAATGATTTAACTTAATTTGATAGTCAAAGTATGAAAATAAATACACTAACTTATTCTACTCAACGAGTAGATAATTGTGTTATATTTAGAATCTCGAAACCAATTTTGGATGAATGAGAAATTACAGTCCAAAGTAAAAAGAATGAATCAAAACTAGCCAAGATCTTGAATGGTGAGAATGTCGCTCAAGCAACAGGTCTCTGCATAAAATAACACTGCTAGCGCTATTGCGACGCACCAATGGTGGGCTAGCGACATGATAGGTTGTGACCCTTCATAAAGGCTGGTGAGTTTTGGAATATATCTCACTCACATCCTCTCCCCTTCTATAAATAAGACCTTTGGAACGTCCTTTACTGTATCCCCGGTGATATGCAATCATAGCATAACATAAAAATTCATAAATGACTATAAATGATCGTTCTTGATTGAATTATTTTTTATGTTTATGTTGACTGTATTACATTTTATTTGACATGAAAGTTTGCAAATTTTGCTCATTTTTCAGTAATGTTTCCAACTGTTTTCTTCATTTTTGCTGTTTTTTTTTAATCAACTTTAATTAATTAACACCTCATATATCTTTTATTAAGATTTTCTTTTATGTATTATGTTAATGTGGAAAAATATTATAAACATTAATGAGGAGCAAGATTTGCTAATTAAAATAAGGTTTACAATAAATTATGACAAATGGTTGGGAATTTATATGAAAAAGTGAGTGAAAATAAGAACTTTAATTGGAGTCATAACGTGGTGTTATGAGAAGAGATTTCGATTTTTTTTTATTTATTTTCTCTTTCTTTCTGAGAAATCTCTTTAAAGATTAGTGAATATAAAAATATGTTTTTTTTGTTTTATATATTGAACAAAATTCTTTATTTCACTAAGTTGGTGTGAAACAACATATTTAAAAATCTACCCTCGATATCTTCGTCTATGCGATTCATTGTTCTCTTTTTTCTATATATATGGTGAAATTACTTCTTACAAATTCTCGGTATTGTCGATTACAGAGTCCACGTTTTTGTGCAAATGCATACTTTTCCTCTCTTTGTTTTTCAGAATGTAGTATTAACAAAATGAAAATACCTATATTTTGTTCAGGTTTATAAATATTCAAAATACTTTTTATTAACATGTTTTTAGTAGTCAACAAGTACTATCTACTTATTCATTATTCATTTTTATTTATTTATAATTAAATTGTTTATAAATGCTTTCCGAACATGCTCAATGAACGCTTTAAATACATTACCTATTACCAGGAACCACATTTGCCATCATCAATAAATTTGGTCCATTGAACTTGATTAACTTCCTTGTTAAGCAAAATTAAAGTAGGATTAAGAATCTTAATCTCTCGTTTTCTTGAAAGTTCACTTCCATAACCAGGACCTACCATGATTAGGATACAAAGAACAAAAATTTGGTGTGTCACGTCATAATAAAGAATGTCAAAAATGTTATTTATTCATAGCATAACATATTTCAGAGGTTTGGAACTGTAAATGGCACAAACTAAAGGCTTTAGTGAAGTTTGCCATAAAATGAAAGGTTTGATACCATGATTGCAATTCTCTCTTAAAAATATGTATGCTAAGTTGTTTCATAATATTAACATCGGGAGAAGGGGTGCTGCCCGATGAAACCTGAAATCTGAACTATTGGCAGAAAAAATGAAATCTAAAATAAACAACTACAGATTGTTATAAAAACATACAGCACGATCAATGATGGCTTGTGTATAAACCATATTCATATGTTCTAATCAGCTCAATTAAAAAGTTGGGAAAAAAGGAAAAAAAAAAATTGTAAACAAAGAAAGGGGAAAACGCATAGCTTCTACAGCTATTTAAAAAGAAAAAAGAAAAGGAATGAGCTCATATTTCAGGTCATGGCGAAGATACTTGTAATTTTCGGACAGCCTTGAACCAAATCAAATCCCATGAAGAAAAACGGCTTCTCCAGGAACTTTTTCTCGATTACAGCATTATATATTTATACTCTCCTCTTTCCCGATGGAGCTGCATTTCCATCAAATAGTTCATCGATATTCGTCTCGATATCTTCCGGCTGGTACTTTACGTACTTCTCCGTTTGTCGGCCAGGAGTAAAAATAGAACTGAACCTGCCTAAAAACGACCGATAGGCCGGAATTACCATGTTCGATATCGAAACTCTAAGCTCGGATTGAAGCTGCTCATCGCTCACAACCCAAGAACTCTGTGTTTTGTGAATTTCGTCGAACATTTTATTGAAACTGTTGAATTTCTCCTTCAGAACTGGCTTCACTACCTTCCCATTAACATTCAATCCTTCAGGATGTAAACAACTCAATAATTTTCCCCACGTTTCTCTCTGATAACATTTGTGATATTTCCTGAGATCCGATGATCTTTTTCGGTACCACGTGTCTCCCATCAGGCTGTTGATTTCGGTTGATCCTTTGATCTTCTGCAATATGTACCGTCCATTGTTCATCATGAAAATGGAGCTCAATGAAATGTCCTTGTAAAGTTTTGATTTAGCATCAAGATTTCCATCCAATAAATCCATCACCTTCACCATCTGTAGTTGGAATGGGGATTGCTTTTCTGTCTGATCATTGTTAACATTCTGGACTTGGGCTTCTGGATTGTATTCGAATTCAGACCCCGTCACGGACTCGACTCTATCAATCTTCTGATGTTCTCGAAAAACTTGCTCTAGTGAATCCTTGTACTCGCATGCATATTTAAGATAATTCATGGTGTAACGAGTCAATGGATGAACTGCACCACCTGGAACCGGCGTCTTACCTGAGTCAGCCTTAATCGAGTTTTCGAGTTCACCAAAAATGGAAATCATGGACTCTGCAAACCAGCTCCGAATCAACGATGTCTCCGTTTTAAGCTCATCCATAATCTCCACTGACAATAAGCTCTCCATTGTCGGAAGGACATCCCTCAAAACCTCGTAAATATCAAGAAATTTGAACAGTTTTTCAGCAGCACGTTTCGTCATTGCAACAGCCCTGGAGAAAGTCAGGAGCTGAATCACCATGTTTCGCGACAGGCTGCTAACCAGGCTCTCCGATATCAATGGATAGTCGGAGAAAATTGCATCAGAGAGTTTCCTCTCACTCGGAAAATGCACTGTGGCGCATTGCCGGAAAATCTTGAGCCAGGCCACGATCTCTCTCTCCAGTGATTCCCAGTTCATTTTCTGCACATCATCAATGCTATGTTTTTCAAATCCTTGCTTATGTAAACTTTCCTCCAATGCATTTCTTCTTGCTACAAAATAAGCGAAACGACATTCGGATTCGTGTCCTCCTACAATCATTGCCCTGGATAATCTAATCAAGTTTGATAAATTTTCTTCCGAGTATGCTGGAGAATTAGTTTCCTCCACAGGGCCAGGTTCTGGTGCGTCTTGATTAGGGTTTGATGATGTAGATTGCCTCGGCTTTGAATCATTATTATTATGTTCTGAAGCGGACAATTTATGATCATCAAGGAGTGATTTGAATTCTTCCTCAAAGTATGACATTGCACGTTGGAGAATGCCACCAATTCGATTAATTGTATAAGCATATTTATACTCTGAAGAGAATTCAAGAAGTGCAGTTGATAACCTGCAAACTCGATTGATGGTATCCAGAAATGAAGTTGAATCTTGTTCTGAACACTTTTTCACAGGAGAATCATCGGAATCATAGTCTTCGATCTTTGCTTCAACAAGAATGGCGAATTGTTCAACGAAAATAGGCACATCGGGGGGATTGGAATCATCTCGTTTTGAGATTGACAAGTTGAAGATATATTGATCAATCTCTTCCGAGACTTTACTCAGATCAGGAGGTGAAGGAGAAGACTCTGAATTCTTTACATCACATGACTCTTCTCCCTCTTTAATCTCCATGTCAGAGCCTGCAGCAGCAACATTGTCTTGTTTGGCTTCAGCATCACCATCAGGTGGCGGTTCCGCAGCTTCAGCGGTGGTGATTTCATCTTTCAAATCAGAATCATGCTGGTACCCCTCATTTTTTTCATCTTCATTGTTTCTAGACACAAAACTCTGGGATTTTTCAGGGATATTGGATTTCTCTTTCTCTGTGTCCATAGAAGTTTTATTGGCATGAAGAACTGAATTAAGGAAATGAAGGGAAAATAAGTGATGGAAAAATGGGAAGCATGCAAAAAGGATGGTAAAGTAGAATTATCCGTTTTAGTAATTTATTTTTCTGATGTTAGAGCTTTTTTTAATGGTTTTTCTTTGACAAGTTGAAATGGTCCTAAAGATTATTAGTATAGAGAGGGTGAGGGAAAGGCTGTACGCAAAGAGTGGAATTATCTTGGCTGGGAGAAGAGTCCGTCGATCTGTTAAATCCCCTTAAAAAAATAATGAAAATTATAGAATTAAAAAAAAAAGGTTGGAAAAACTAGTTGACTACACTTGGTTATCATTGTATTATAATAAGAAAGGACTATATAGTAACACACATGTTCGATATTGATTGCCACGCCTTGCCATTGGGGCTCTGAACTTTTGTATTTTACTACCTAAGACTGACGAATCATGTTACTTGCTCAAATTAGATTGAAAAACTTCGTTTACAAATTATGAGTTGACAACATCTAAACCAATCACTGCAAAAATCAATTTTTGAAATCAATAGAAATCAATGGCTAACACTTAGTTTAGTCAATCTTTGAAGTCAAAGCTCTTTCATTCTATAAAGAAATACACAAACATGTTACAAAATGTCACTTTTGTTACAATAACAGTGTGGAGTGTGGACGCTTGGAATGCTAATATGCTTCGTTCCGTGGGTTAAATCCACAAGCGCAACCCTCGTGTTTATTAAGTTTGAAACTCTTTATGAATAAAAGCAGAGGAATTCAAAAAATATCATTAGCATTTAGCCAAACCAAATTAGATCAATTTCTTCCACAAGCAACTCACAGAAACTTATCCCAACTCCATGTAATCAAATATGTTAAAATCGAAAACAATAAGTTACAAACATCTACAATACTCAATACCTAATTATGCATGCATATCAGACTATTCTTAGAAAAGTTAATGATCTCTGAATGGAAGAAGGAGAATAAAGCTCCATAAATCTCTAAAACTGCCCTTGTTAACATGAAGTTCACCTGTCAGGCAACAAATTGACCAGAGGATCTACTGACCGGTGTCAGGAGTGGGCCCATACAAACCACCTTCAGTTGGATACATTTGGTAAGCATTCGGTGGATGAACTCCCAAGGTAGAAACCCCATTAATTGGAGGCCAAAATGGAGGATAACCAGGTAGGGGTGCCGGGTGCTGGCTGGTGTCATAGCCATATGGTACATTAGGAACCGGGCCAGCAGTCGGCATATATTGGGGAATAGGATATGGCTGCATAGGTGGTAGTGGTGGTAGTGGAGGTGGGGACGATGGAGGAGGAGGGGGAGAATTATCAGGGTTCGACTCCTGAGAGGGGACTGGCAAATCATGCTGTATCGAGGCATGGTATAAATGAGGAACAGGTGCCTCGATATTTTGAGGAACATAAGAAGCATGGTCATTTTCAGTCTTAGCCCTCTTCTCCGAGGAATAATCATCAGATGATTCTTTTATTTGATTGCTTATGAGACCCTCCGATGCCAGGGAAGAGGGGACATATGACAGCATCTCGGCCGAAGATGTTGATGCAGTAAGCTTTGCTGCCACAGCAGCTGCCGCAGGTTTAGGATGTTCTTCAATTTGGCAAGATTTTTTGGTAAAAGGCTCCTGCCATGTGTACATTATAGGAGCAGATTGTTCTCTACTTCCGGACATAAAGTCGTGATACGTTTGACTGGTTTGAGTCTCCTGTCGACTCCGCCCAGCTAGACTAGGCGCATCACCTTTGCCATCAACTGCCTGCTGGTAAATACTTTCTGCCTTTTCCGTGTGTGCCTGAGCAGCCTAAAGACAATGTATATGCGTGGTTACAATATTATAGATAACAAATAATGCGTGTGGATAATACCAAATATCAATAATGATGCAGATCCACTTGTAGTTTTTTGGTGAATAAATATTTCTCATATATATATAAATAAATAAATAAAAGATGGAGGACAACAGTCAACAATTTTTTCGTGACAACTGGAGTGAACTTAAATAACACCTCAACAGACACGTTATCAGGGGCGTGCACCAGGGGCAGGGGAAATTTTATCATCTAATATAAATAAATATTCCTAGTACAAGTGAGACAAACATTTGCATGGGGCCGGACTCTGTAGATCCCCTTCAGTAACCCAAAATAATGGGTAAATCATGAGCCAGTATAAAATCATTGATGAAACCGCAGTCCCTATAGGCAACACTCACCACCACTACGAGGAAAAATTCCTTCTGTTCTCTTTTTATCTTCTTTTTGAGATTTTGATGAGTGTGTACTTTGTAAAGAGTTATTTTTTGGAGGAGTTGGTGACTGGAAGTAGAACATGTACAAACATACTCAATATGCATTAAAGTCAAGTCAGTTCCAAGCAACTACACAATATGACAGATCATAACTAAAGAGGCTTGCAGTTAATTATCAAGTTAAAAGGGAGTGAGCAACTAGCGAATAAGTTACCTGAAGTTTATTGCAGACTTGGTCCAAATTATATTCCTAAGGACAAAATCACAGCAGCAATTAAGTAGGAAGAAAAATAAATTAATTGAAAACAATTGCAGTATAAACAAAACAATTTTGAAGTTGTAGCATGTGCTAATCTCAAGGCACTCTACCTGCTCCTGCAGAGCTTCTCGCAAAAGAGACACGAGCTTTGTTCTTGAAGATTCAAGAATTCTTAGCTGCTCAATACAGTCCCTCAATATTGTATGTTTCCCCTTCAGCTCATCCATGATGCCAGATTGATTCAGATGGCCTACTTATATTTTTTCAATGGAAAGATAAAAGGACCCAGATGACAAAGAGAAGAGTATCATTAGTCAGAGAGATGCAAGCATAGATGGTCGGAAACAAGAAAAGGGAATGCTCAACGTAAGATAAATAAATAAATCAACAAAAGAAATTAAATGAATAATGGTGAGCACAAATCCACATGGGCCACAATTTTTTTGGACATGAAATTGAGCAGTTATTCTGAAATACAAGCAAATCCAGAAAGCACCCAGTGATATTAACAAAAAGTTCCACAATATAGTGTTAAACAAAAACACTGAACACTACAGTAATTGATTTTCATTCATGGACATTTACTTGACAAAAAAACTTGACAGTTAGTGATTTGCCATTGAGTCACAACTTACGAATTTAGTGCTTGTCAATGTTTAGATCAATCAGCAGTCATGCAGTTGTCTTATCACTGAAAAGAAGGAATGGCTCCCATTATAGATCTACTTTAACTTAAACCCAAATAAATCTCTTATCTTTAAATTACACCTTAATATATGCTCAATCACCCTTTTACATAATTTTATGTCAACCTCAGATCAAATATATAAGCACAGGAAGTTATCTGCATCTAACAGCTTCAGTGTGCTATCAGAGTCATACATTTTAGAAAGGAAAATGCAAGCAACATCTCACAAGCATAAACGCCACTTAATTCAATAAGATATACAACAAATTAGCATGAGAAGGAAGTATCACAAAGACGCGCCGTGAAAGTGGAGAAAAATTTACCTGTTCTGTAGTCATTTCCAATATCCTTTTTTATTTTCTCAATAGAGCTTATGACATTGCTACAGTGGTTCAAAACAGTATCTTCATCCAGTTGACCAGAATACACAACTTGATAACTATCTTGTCCAATGTGTTACTAGCAATAGGTTTCTGATTGCAGAGAAGGAATTGAAGTGGTAATCATTGGACTACATTCATAAAACCACAAAAAATGCATATAAAAAGCATTCAGCAACACCAGATAAGGTTACCATTTTGAACCCAACATGCTTCCCATTTTTATTATCATTATTGGGTTGGTTTTTCACAAACTCTTCCTTAAGAATTTGCCCTCTGGAGCCAAATACCTTCCTCTCCTCCCAAATACCAATCTGCATGTAATTGGAAAGCAGATGAAAATACATTAATCAGCACCGCAGTTACACAAATTAGAACCAGACAAGATATCTCTTATTCTATCTCAGATGATTGTAATTTTATTTCAACAAGAAGCTTAAAAAATGTTGCTTGGACTCGGATTTGGCTGTCAAATAAGGGTACGTCTAAAATCTAGGATATGGCAATACGGCTAAAAAAATCTGAAATTTAGACATAGGTAAGTGTATACGTTTAACAAACTAAAATATGTTTCAGAAATTCATAAACAGGTAATTTCAGATGCATTTTTTTAGGGATATGTATACTATGTGTTTGACTCTAAACTTAAGACAAATTAAATACGAATTGTAATAGTTCATTTAGTTTTCATTTCAAATTTAGATGTGTGTTACAAATTAGAAATCATTTCAAACTCAATACCAAATAACAAAACCGATATAAAGGATCACCTTCTAGTTTAAAGGATCCATGCCATACCCTCATCCTTGTCTTGTCGTGTCAGGTCGACACGGGGTACTTCCACCACAATGGAGAGTTTGAGTAACATGCCTTTGATACATACAATGTGTTCGCTAAAGATAGAACTAATAAATAACTACTACATTCAATGGCTTGGTTTGACTTTTAACTGTTCTGATGCATAGTTTTTTTGCATTATTTTAATATTTATCCATGACTTAGAATTGTTTTTGTCAATTTTACCCTTCACTCAAAATAATGAACTGAAAAAGGAAGATAACACCATTAAACCATCATCTTCCATTCTGACAAAATCCTGATGCCTCTTCCCTAACCCCATCCCAATACAGGACGGTCTGTTGAAAACAAAAGGAATAGAAAAATAGCATTGCCACCAGCACCCAAAATTAGTATTTACCCTTCACTAAAATGCAATAAACCCCGGAAAAAAAAATAAAAAAATGGAGAATTGAACCTCAGTGTCCACCACCAGAAGCCTAAATAACCAACTTACAGAACCTCCCAAATTGCAATCTAAAATTGGGTGGGAAAGGGATTCACTAATTTTGCAACAAGGATGCTTGTAACGCACTTTTCTGAAAATTGTTCTGAAAATTGGAGCTGGGATTATA